CCGACAGATTTCTTTGGAACAAGGACTTTAATGTTTGGAAGCCATTTTGTGTCCAGTATTAAATGCAAACCGGCCATATAAGACAACAAGATGTGTGAATCATTCATGTGTCTTCCATTCTGTGTCCAGCTTTGGACACCCAAAAAACACTATCACACGTCTACTACGGCTCTGCCATCACGGCCACTGAAAGCAAAACTAGAGGGCATCTTAACATGTTGAACACAACATGGACAATCGGTGCCATGATAATTATACGGACCTCCACGCTTTAGGCCAAAAAAAGGTCTCCGGTTTCTGGTATGGAGCTTGCCCAAAAAGTGATGCGGCGACGCGGCTTTTTTTTTTTACCTGATTGTTTTGCTTCAAATGTCGGCTGATGACTGCAAATGGTGCCTGACTAAACTTAGTGCAAATATATAGGAGTCCAGAGAGGCCACATAAAGCTTATTCTCGACCATAACCCAATCTAAAAACACGTTAAAATTGTGCAGCAGCAGGATTCCAGTCAAACCAGTGAGTTTGGCGGTTTTGAGACATCATCTTTCATTGAAAAAAAAAAAAACTTGTTCATTTTGCCGACGCGCATGGCGACGCGCGCGCATACCAGAAACCGGAGACTTTTTTTTTTGGCCTTATGCATATCAATCCCTAAATGATAATTCATTCCATCAATAACGACGGATTAAAAACACATCGAAAATTTAGGATATATTAATTTAAAATTTAATTTAAAAAATGTGAATTCAAGGTAAGCTGCAAATAAAATCCTCAGTTGATCATCTGAAATGTGTTCCCATAAACAAATTTACCACCTCCACTAATATTCTCCATCACGCAGTCCTGCAAAAAAAAACACTAAATAATCTTCAATCCCAATATCACAGCGCCTACAAATAATCAACAAGTAAAGTAAAAAAGATAATTCAATTAATCGATAAACACAAGTACAGACAAATGAATTGACTGGTGGAACAGATGGGATTTGATCATTTTCCTGAATTATTTGAGAGAATTAGCATTTTGAATGGAAAAGGGCAAACTGTTCCACTTCTTTGCAGCAATCAAATTTTACAAGTATAAACATTTGAACATGATCTAGAAGCTGTTGTTATTTATCACCTGAAGAGGAATTTTAAATACAGTCAAAAGCTACTCATCTGAACATAAAGAACATGGTACTGCTAGTGAAGCCAAGAAATTGGGACATATGGCCTACGACTTTGCATAGAGGGATATACATCTTCAGCTGCGTGTCTCAAAAAAAAATGTACCAGTCAAACAACATTTTTTTTCTGAGGAAACTAAATGTTTGTTTTTTACGGAGCTTTTAAAGGGACATAGGTGAAAAAAAAAATTTGAAAAAATCATCGTAAGAATGAAAGAAAACTGCGTTCGAACGAAAAAAAATCTGCGTTCGAACGAAAAAAAATCTGCGTTCGAACGAAAAAAATCTGCGTTCGAACGAAAAAAATCTGCGTTCGAACGAAAAAAATCTGCGTTCGAACGAAAAAAATCTGCGTTCGAACGAAAAAAATCTGCGTTCGAACGAAAAAAATCTGCGTTCGAACGAAAAAAAATCTGCGTTCGAACGAAAAAAATCTGCGTTCGAACGAAAAAAATCTGCGTTCGAACGAAAAAGCTGTTTGCTGTTTACTGTAAGCTGTTTGCCCTCCCTGTGCTGCCCCACCACTTATGTGGGTGATTTGGTCATGTTTTTTCAGGTCCAACATGCATGACATATGTGCCCAATGTAGGTCCGTGGCCCAAGTACAGGAATTTCAATAACTGGTCTTAAAGCAGTCTATGAGCTTTCAAACGGTCTTACTAGGGCTTGCTGTTAGTTGGTCATGAAGTTTAACCATTGCAATGAAGATCTAGCTAATTGTCCTTCTTTTTTTAAGAGTTCCTATCCTGTTACAATACTAGCTACAACACAACCCCCCCCCCCCCACCCCATCAGTCCCACCCATTAGGTATGCTGAGGCAACACACTTATGAGACATTTTTAAAAGTAATTTGCCTTTTTGGTTTCTTTTTATAAAGTGAGGCAAGTTTTAAAAAAATAATTAAAAAAGGCTATATAATTATCTTTCAAATTTTTCAGGTAAAAAAAATAACTGGTCGTCATTGTGATTTTCAGAAATTTGTCTATCCACAAATCCTTTACAGTATAAATTTTCATTCCTAATCCTTGTAATAGTTCCAAACTTTAGAAGCGACTGACATGTATATATTGTTTGATCATTTCTGGCTTTCAATAAGCCTATTTTACTAGTCTAACACTTGTACATGTACATGTACTTTCTGCTTCCTCACTTTCAGATACGGGATTCACTAATTAGCTGATTCCTACTCATACTCATAGCAATCGACAAACATGTCGGGCTATTCTGATAGCCATGGCTAGCCCGACATGTTTTTTGGTGGCCCAAAAACAGTTTTCAGGGCAAAGAATGTTTTGACCCACAAAAATCACCCACATAAGTGGTGGGGCAGCACAGGGAGGGCAAACAGCTTACAGCAAACAGCAAACAGCTTTTTCGTTCGAACGCAGATTTTTTTCGTTCGAACGCAGATTTTTTTCGTTCGAACGCAGATTTTTTTTCGTTCGAACGCAGATTTTTTTTCGTTCGAACGCAGATTTTTTTTCGTTCGAACGCAGATTTTTTTCGTTCGAACGCAGATTTTTTTCGTTCGAACGCAGATTTTTTTCGTTCGAACGCAGATTTTTTTCGTTCGAACGCAGATTTTTTTTCGTTCGAACGCAGATTTTTTTTCGTTCGAACGCAGATTTTTTTCGTTCGAACGCAGATTTTTTTCGTTCGAACGCAGATTTTTTTCGTTCGAACGCAGATTTTTTTCGTTCGAACGCAGATTTTTTTCGTTCGAACGCAGATTTTTTTCGTTCGAACGCAGATTTTTTTCTTTCTAACGAATATGTTTTCAATTTTTTTTTTCATCTATGTCCCTTTAAAAGCTCCGTAGTTTTTTTGGGTGTAAAACAAATTACCATGAGATGATAGAGTGTTTTTCCCGTTGACATGATTTTTGTTCTGCGTGATTTGGATCTTTTGTTTAAAAGTTACAGCAAAATTGTAAAGACTGTCAAAATCTGTCTGGGCCACTTTTCAGATTAAGTTGGTATCTAATGAAAGGCATTCTTACACCTTCTTGGTATGTGTCATGTGAATGCCTTTCATTAGATACGGTATACCAGATAATCTGAAAAGTGGACAAACTTGGAATTCAAGTCCTTTCATTGCATTAGCTGAATCTCTGGACTGGGGTGTCCAAATGAGATGGGATAAAGACCATTGTGTAGAGTATTCACTACACATGCAGACTCTGTAGATATGTTTTGCAAAACGGGATTGCTAGTATTTTTAGTAGTTATGGATTGACTGCCACATTTTTATTGACACACGCTGCATGTGGGTGCCTGTTACAAGTTACAACTTAAGCTTTAGGAAGGTATATATTCTGTATCTTTGAAGTACTCATGCGTAGGAAAGGTCCACACATTTTTGTAAAAAGACTCTTTGGTGCCAATAAAAACATCTCCATACATGATTTCAGTATATACACCATATTTATATATTTTATCAATAAACTTCATTTGAGTACATAAAATACGTGTATATAAAAAACGAGATGTTAATTACAAGTACAGCTGACATGACGACTCACAATTATTCGGCCAACTTCAAAATTCACCCCCCAAAAAAATGTTATATTTGATCTGGAGTTTTGGAGTTAAAACCAAACCAATTTATGAAGTTGAACTTTTCAAGCTGGTTTATTTGTGTGTGTTTGATAAGCCTGATCGGTTTGATTTGGCAGATACATTTTAATGATGGCCGGATATGTGTCATGTGATAAAATCAAAATCAAGGAATCATTCAACTTTTTTCTCTTAAAAATCCCAACGAAGCATCCTAATATCTGCAGAAAGATTTGCTGACATGATTACAAATTTGAGGACTGACAGTGACGTTTCAGTATACAGTGCATTGTGACCTGTCATTGCATTCTAGTGTCAAATGTGATTGCAAGCTTCATAAACGTTTGAATCTCTATGTTTAGGATGAAATATTATAGAAATAGTTAACAGAATTAGAATTCAGTAGCTCATAGAATTCAGATCCATCGGTGAATGGGCAAAAATGAAGGAATTTCAGAAGTGTTGTCCAAACAAAGAAATGTCATTGTTTTTTTTTGTTCAAAGTGTTTGAATGAATGATGTTATCACTGAAAACATGTGGATTATTATGAAATGTATCTTCGAGCAAACTTGAATCCTTGATTCTGATTGGTCGGTCCATGGCAACAAACCGTGCTGCACTATCCCATATGCCATGGTCCATACTGCACTCTGCGTATCGCGCTATTCCAAGATGCGTGCGCCGTTCCTGCTGCAGGCGTGGATGACCGCTGAAAAATTGTGTACAGCTTGCTTGTCCCAACTTTACTGTGCGTCAAGTTTGCTTGAAGATAATTTTTTATTCCATGTAGTGAGTCTGTGTCCCACATACCACTTGGTCTTCGGCCTCGCGCCATGTTGGACACAGATGCAGTACAATATTCTGTGTTCCACTCGAGCTTGTGGGATAAGTAATATTGTTATACCTCTGTCTTGAATACTGTATTTTCATTGGCCTAGAACGATCACGTGTTAAGTTTATAAAAAGTTTTGGCACACTCCCGGTGGGATATCGCGTACATGATATCCCACAGGGAGTGTGCTATGACTTTGTACGTACGGTACGTATGGTGTGCATGAAACGCTTGTATCGTTGGTACCCACGCTATTTTCACCATTTTGGTGTTTGATTGAGTTGGTGTTTGATTGTCATGATTGTTGTGTTTACTGCTGTTTGTTTCGGATTTTTACATCAAAACATTTCAAACGCTGTGATGTGGGATATGACGTTTTGAACACCCGAGGGGAGCAATGCCGCGAGGGTGTTCAAAACGTCATATATCCCACATCATAGCGTTCAACAATTGTTAAATATGTTTCACTGGAACTAGAGTATATATTCAGCATTTCTCAAAATCCAGTACTACACACAAATGTTAGCATATTGTCATCTTGACCACATGCCTTAGGATGCATAATTTATCCAGCACACATTAATATCTAACACTGAATCATTTTCTGATAGACCATTGCACTGGACAACAATTAATTACACCCCTACATTGGATACAACTTGGCACGATTGCAGCAGTATGGATCATGTGTGTTGTTGTAGCCAGGCATAGGAGTACTCATAGACCAGTAGCATGATAGCACCCCCTGGGCCTAGCCTCATGATCTTGGGTAGAAGCCCCTTGTACAAGGCCAAATATCTGAAAAACAAAACAAATGCGAAATAAGACACAAATATTGCTCAGGTAAAATGAAACACCAGAATAAATGTTAACCAGTTCATCACGCTGGTATTATTTTGACAGTGACCTGACCCACGGGTTTAGGCTGCGAGCAGGTCGCTGACAGATATTTCCGGCCTCTCTTATTGCGTGTTTATCCGTCATCTGTTCCAAATACCAGCAAAACCTTTGCATGTATATTCGACTTGAACTGGTTAAAGGCACGAAGGAACATTTGTAATTTCCTGGAAACGTGTACCTATGGATTTAACGACAAAATCCTTGCTCAAAGTGAAGCTAGGACTGGCACCAAATACCCTCTAAATGTATTCCACATGAAATGGCATCACTCAGAAGAAAAAAACAATCATTGGCGGTGGTTTAAGAACTTGTGCCAGCAGGCAAAGTTTTTGACGTGAGCAAAGGAATCCAGTTAGAGACCCCAAAAATTATGCATACTTTTTCTGGTTTTTTTTTTTTTAATGTATGGCATCCACTGAGCTTAAATTTCAACAAGTTAGTACTTTAGGCCCAAAAAAAAAAGTCTCCGGTTTCTGGTATGCGCGCGCGTCGCCGTAGCCATGAGCGTCGGCAAAATGAAAACATTTTTTTTTTAATGAAAGATGATGTCTCAAAACCGCCAAACTCACTGGTTTGACTGGAATCCTGCTGCTGCACAGTTTTAACGTGTTTTGGGATGGGGTTATGATCGAGAATAAGCTTTATGTGGCCTCTCTGGACTCCCATATATTTGTACTAAGTTTAGTCGAGCACAATTTGCAATCATCAGCCGACATTTGAAGCAAAAAAAATCAGGTAAAAAAAAAAAAGCCGCGTCACCACACCACTTTTGGGGCAAGCTCCATACCAGAAAACGGAGACTTTTTTGGGGGGCCTTATGCACTCTTCTTAAGATTTTGAGCAATTTTGTTGCTTTAAACGAAAAGAGTGCAGAAAAAGCAAATGTTCCCATGTACCTTTAAGCTTAGCTGTCACATTCAAAGCACAAAATGTATTCACAACTTTGAATGCACCGAAAGTATGATATTTGACTGCACCTGTTGTCCTTTGTTTGGACAAGTGTGGTGCCATTAGGAGTGCTGGATGGGGTATGCCAAAGACACACAGGTCCATGGCTTTTTACAACAGTAGAGGATGCAACAGGCCATGTATAATTTCGCTTTAAATTCAAGCAAAAGCCTTATGGTGAAATTACTGTCCAAATCCTGATATTTTCTCTATTTTTCTCTATTTTTTTTTAACCAAAGTATATGTGCTTATAGTCAAGTTTTGTTAACTGGGTATTTTTGCTTTTTTTGACACAATTTTTACCTTTTTGTTAAATGTAAATACATGTAAATTCTCTGCATTTTAAATAGAATTTTCTAATTATTACTTGTGCCTTTCATTGAGAGTTTGTTTTACATGTATTTTCTGACACTTACATTAAAACTGTATTCCAGGTACGTGAACAATTTTGACATAAGGTACGAAAAAGCTGATAACGGTGAACAAAACTTAATATGCTGGTACAACTTTTGTCCAAAGTTTGTACGTGTCTAATTTTACCCCCTGAAGCCCCTTGTGTGTACAGCACCGAAAATGACAAAATGAACATGACTGCATTACACACAGTAATAGGGTTAATTTTAGCAACTACTGAGGGCGCTATGATGCCTATTCAATGAATCCAGGTGAGGATACATGGCCATTGTACATTGGTTGATTGTGAAAATGCATTGTGGAGAGAGGGGGTGATGTTCCAAAATATCATGTTTTTATGTTTGAGATAAAGTTTCAAGTTTTTAATGCATACCCCATGTTCTTCAAAAAGTAGATATCTTTTTTCCTGACAACTTTTATAAGTTTTAACAAAAAAAACTACTTTGTTCCGATTTTGGGCGTCTGCAACCCTGGGAAAAAAAAGGGCTTCAGAAAACCCACCCTGCGAAAGCCAAACTATTGTCTGGCAGCCAATAATTCATATTTTGTGAAAAAATAATTCAATTACTAAAAATTGGTAATTGTTTTTTTTTAAACATTTTATTCAAAAGTGAATAACTATTATATTGCTAGTAAGATAGCAGTTGCAAATTACAAATCTATTTTTCAAGGTGAAACTTCAAAAAAGCATTTTTCAATAAATAAAAAAATATATAACTTCTTCCAAGAAGTAAGAAGCTTTCCAATACAATTTCCAAGACTGTTTGAAAATCAGGTCCTAACAATAAATAAGTTCTAACTTTTTTGGCCCCCTCCCCTTACTTCCAGTCCACTACCAGTTCACCAACCCCACTAGGTTACTTACCCTTCTTCAACATACACCATTCGTATCGTCTGGAAGCACGTCTTGTACTTGATCTGTCCTGGCACTGGCTGGGGCCCTTGTATACGACTCTTGGCCACATCAAAAGGAATGTTGAGTGCGGAGGCTAACGTTCCGGCAATGAGACCGATCAGGAACTTGCGTGAAAACTCCAACTTGGGTGTCTGCAGAAAGATATTTACGATTGTGTAACTTTTTGGTGTAGCTTATTTAGGGGAGGTGTGTTGAGATTGAGGTCAGAAGGCGAACTTAAGATCAAAAATCTGTCACTTTTTTTGGCAGTTTACAATATTTTATGCTGCAAGTGAATTCTAAGTTGTGGAAAATGTTGACATTTGGCATGTGACCAGGGCTCACGAAATCAGCTGCCCGACATCCCGGGACAACCAAAATATTTTGTCGGACAACCAAAAGTTCCAGGTTGTCAGCCCGATGGGCAGCCACTTTTTTTCACCAATACTCACACATTTTTACACTTTATTTTAGTCCATGGGATTTTCGAAAGTTCCAGAATCCCATACATGTGCACAGCGTCGAACAAAATCATGATAATATCGACATTTTGACTCAGCTGTTGCGCTATCGCCATTTGAAGTTGGTAATCTACGCATAAACCAATAACGGGTACCAGCCAAAACAGAACAGCGGTCAATCTCAATCTGTACGTATATATGGTCCGGCTACATCATGCAGTGACATTTCGCGTACGTATTGTGTGTAGGCAGCAAATGCAATCCTGTGTGTACATGTGTTTCCAATAATATTATGACCGGACCACTGTACACCATGTATCGGCGCGGTGTAGAGCGCGGGTACCGTACACGCAGCCACGGTCAGCCACTGCCGGCAAAGCACGCTTGCAAAATGGTAATAGCGCAGCAGCCGAGTACAAAATATTTTGGTTGTCCCAGGACGTCGGGCAGCCAATTTTGAAAGCACTGAGCCACTTCAGGTAAAAATGTACATTATTAGGATATGGCCTTCAGTTTGGGGCAATATTAAAAGTTCTTTATTGGGCAACTGAAAATGAAATTCGGGCAACCAGATTTCAAGCACCCCTGCCACAAAGGGCAACTTCATTTTTAAAAAAAAAAAAGGCCTGAGTGATTCCTAAAAACTGACTATGCTAACAATCCCAGCCAAAATGGTTGGGACACTTCCTGAGCCTGCCACAGTCACTTACTCCCCCGCTCCCCCGCTCCTCTGGTCAATGTTGTTCTCTCCAGCTGATGGAGCACACACCGCGCAATAAGAGACAACATTAAACGGGGGCCGGGGGGTTGGGGGCCCAGCGAGATTTGGCCAGGATTGTAGATCATTTCGTCCAGTTCAATTATTGTGAGTGGGTAGCAGCCTGTTAGAATGGAATTCCATAGTCTTGCAGATCTAAATAGTATTAGTTAGCAACCTATAATTATAGGTCAACCCAAAAAGATTGTGGCTTCAAGCAGGTGAATCATATGTGATACTTTCCATTGATTAGAAGATGCAGTTGTTCCAAACAACTGCAACGTTTGATCTTTAACCCCTCCTCATCGGCTGAGGCGAAAGCCGTGCTACGGTATGCCGTGGTTATGCCGTTGTATGCCGTCTGTGTGCCGCTACTGCCACTACTGCGCAGCGGCTACTGTGCAGTGATGCCAGTGCAGTGAGGCGTGAAAACCCGACGGCAAGGAGTGGGCCATCTGTAAATTGTGCATTTTTTGTTTTTGTGGCAACAAAAGTGCTCAAAATCTCAAGAAGGGTGCTGAACAACTAACCTGGTGGAGTTTTAGCTCTGTGAATGTTGTACATTCCGAGAAAAAAAAGTATTATAGGATGTCATATTTCCGAGTCATATTTTGAATTGCGCCAGAAATCAGCATCCGGACCATGTTCTCATTCAGATGATTGCAGCTACGCGATGCCACGCAATGAACCGACGATTAGCAATCGCGTGCACATGTGCTTTGTGTCAACGCTTGCACGCATTCACAGATTCGCCCAATTACAAACCTCCATTTCTAAAAAGTAAGCTTTTTAGCAGTGTTTTGTTGGTTACGTTTTGGATAGCTGCAAATTGGTCCACTCTACCTTTCAACTTTTCATGTACTTCATTCAATAATTTTTTTTTCCACTTGTTTGTTTTGTGCAAGCGTGGATAGGTTTTAATTTCACCATCAGTTGGGTAGTAAGGAATTTTAGATGAACACAAATTCAGAAGGATATAATGTTTCAACTTGATAAAGAGGGTCTTACCGAAGCTTCTGGGAAGTACTGTTTGATGTTGTGGTAGAAACTGAAGTAAACCATGTTGAAGATACCGTGCCTGCCTAGAGTTGCTGTCAGTCCTCTGAACATGCCGTCACGTCCAATGCCCTGTTCTCTGATTATTCTCCTGGCTAATGAGAATGCACTGGTTTGCTGCAACAAAATCAGCCAGTCTTGGAAGTTTAAGGTTGTGAACTGAGTTGTTTCTAAGGCTGTCACCTAACTGAGGCCACATTTGCAGGGTTGCCGCACTGACCGGGGGCATCATTTTCTGCAGAGGATTGCCTTCCTTTCTGGGGGGTGGGGGGCACAAGACGGGGGGGGGGGGGGGGGGGGGGGGGGGGGGGGGGGGGGGGGGGGGGGGGGGGGGGGGGGCACAAGTGCCCAGCTTTGGGGGACTTACCCCTACAGCTCATCAAATGATCTTTGTAAACACCGGCCACCGTGGACCCCCCATTGTCCCTAATCCTCATTCCTTTGTTGTACTACTAACTTTTTAGCAACAGCTCTCATTGGTTTTGTACACGAATTTCGGTCAATCGTGGACGTATTGTTTGTGCCCTAACCCGTTTGTCCCAGGTCCACGATTGCCGGTGTTTACATACTCAACGTTACCTTAGTTATGGCACTGCTCTTAGGGCCAATTCCAGATATGACCTTGCAGCTCTCATGTGATAACTGGCCGGTCACCCTGGTGGATTTTGTGGCCTATCCCTACATTCACTTATTGTTCAAATTCAAAAATAGACCAGGAGATTTCCAAAGATTTTGCAGAATTGAAACAAGCACAGCCCAGCCACTATCACTTTACAAAATGGGATTTGATGTTCTTTACAAGGTAAGTGCAAAGAATGTGTCGTTAGTCTTCTGCACAGTGGAGGATGAACAAAGGATGACCCAAAAAAAACAGAAAACACATATTGAGACTAACTTGTACCTGAGAAAATTGGAGCCTCTCTGCTTGTAACCGCACCTTGACTACCTCAAATGGGGTGATGATGAAGCCCTCTGTGAGGCCAGAGCATAGACCTGCTATAGTGAAGGTCTGCAAATGCAAAGTTGAAACACAAACATTTCTTTTTTAAGTTCTTTTAAAACAAAACAAGAACATGCTTACTCAGTCAACCTGTTATCGATTTCATATCTGTATCACAATTCCACTTTTTTTGGAGGATTTAATTCTGAGAGGCAACAATTCCAGTTCCCCAAAGAATGGAATCAAGGCAGTGAAAGACACAAAGTATTATTAAAGCCAGAGTCCATCATTTGCAGCTATCCAAAAAGTAACTGGCGTAATTATTGTTGAAAAATACTTGGTTGAAAGATAGTAAAGGGACTAAACTCCCTGCGAAATTATTCTTTCTGGCAAGCTGTCATTTTGAAGAAATCAACAAAAGAAGGCCTTTCCAACGATGCTTCTTAAGAAGCACCGTAGGAAATTAAGTTCGTTTTGTTATTCGGCGAAGCATGTGCAAGCATTGACACGAGGCACACGCAGTTGCTATAATTCGTCGGATCAGTGCGCGACATCACATAGCTGCAATCGGCTCAGTGAGAACGTGTTTCGGACGTTGAATTCAGGCCCAATTCAAAACATGATTCAGCAACTTTTGATTGGAAATTGAGGTCCTAGAATGTTGTTTTTCTCAAAATATACAGCTAAAGCTGAGCTGAAACTTCATCAGGTTAGTTGTTCAGCACCCTTCTTTAGATCTTGAGCACTTTTGTTGCTTCAACGAGCATAATGCACAAATAACAAATGATGGACTATACCTTTAAACAGACAGACATACCCCTGAATAACCTCGCATTCAGATTATACTGCTGCTTTTTTATCACAGTACATGTAGAGTCGATTCTGAATGGAATTGCAATTTGGCTCCCAAATATGTTGGAATCATCCAAATATTATCAAGAAGTAACTAGAGGTAGGGCATTTGTGATGTGATCAAGCTAAATGAGTCGTTTGTCTGAAACTTTCATTTGGAGATTCAGGCCAAAATAGGGCCACTTCATCACATCACTTCATCACATCTCTTGGTGTTTTGACTTCCATAATTTTTTAACTAAAGATGGTATCAGCATGCCGTTTGCACAGCAGTAATGCTGAGATTGTGCTCTTTTCAAATCTGTAAAAAAAAAAAAAAAATGACCAGTGTCGACAAACGACTCATTTAGCTTGATCACATCACATTTGTTGACTTACAAACGCTGGGTGATTGGGTAAGGCAACTATTGCATTGGACATTGCCTAAAGTTGTGAATATTTGTAGATGCGAACGGAGAAAAAATCACAAAATTCAGCCTTTCCAGTGCAGCCTTTTACATCATGAATTCAGAGTAATATGCACATCTTTGGATCAGGGTTGATATATGTTCAATGTTTTAGGTTTATACCATTAACCATTTAGAAGAAAAGTCGTGAGAATTATTGTTCGAAAAACAAAAAAAGACACATGGATGGAAAGGAAGAATGAAGATTAATTTAGACAATTTTGAAATGGTGATCGGGTGGTGCCCGATCACCCAAAAAGCATCATGGCAAGTATAGGAAGGTTACATGTACAAAAAAAATGAACGCGACATCTAGTCATCAGTGTTAACTGTGTGAACTGTTGTTCCAACATTATAAATGCATACGCTGTGAAACAAGGACGAGGACACACGTCCTTTAAAGGTAGAGTATATCATTTGCAGCTATCCAAAAAGTAACTGACGAAATTATTGTTGAAAAGCATACTTAGTTTAAAGATAATAATGGCACTTAAAACTCCCTGTGAAACTTTTGGAAATTTCCATTAGTAGTTCGTTTTTAAATCGGCGAAGCTGTGAATGGGTGCGCGCAAGTGTTAACACGACGCACACACGTCCACGGTTGCTATGATTTGTCGATTTAGTGCGTGACATCGCCCAGCTGCAATCGGCTGAATGAGAAAGTGTCCCGGATGCTGATTTTGGGCGCAATTCAAAACACGACTCGGCAACTTTTGAATTGAAATCGAGATCCTAGAATATTGTTTTCTCCAAATATTCAGCATTCACAGAGCTAAAAGTTCATCAGGTTAGTTGTTAAGCACCCTTCTAGTCAGAGTTTGAGCACTTTTGTTGCTTCAAATGAAAAAAATGCACAAATGACAATTGACAAATGACATACCCTACCTTTAAGCTGGATTATTTCCAGTGACTAATAATGGTTTTAGTTCAGTGGTTTCTCAATCCATCTGTACTTTGTGCTTGTGTAGTTTACAGATGGATGGTTAACTGATACTCTATGCAGGCAGTCAACCATGAAGGCGAATAGTCAGAGGCTTCTTTCTAGCAAATGCTTGGATGGTTGTAATTGCATTGTGGAATTGGCTAATAGACCATTATCATGTTGCAGCCAATTGATTTCATTCCCATTCAAATCATTGTAACCAAAGCAAGGCTGGAGGGAAAAATAGTCTGGTTCCTTTTTACACAAAAACATTATAATTCAGTACTGTTATTGGATACAGGGAACATGACTAAAATGGTGGAAGCATGATATAGGTCTATTGGGCTCGCAATGCAGGTTGTACAGTGTATGGGTGTGAATCGGAACTCAGGGCACCCAAGTATGCGACCGTTGATGTCAGGAACCAGTTCCAGATTATGGCATCACGAAGAACTGCTAATTATAATGGTTTACCTTCTGAGGTTACTAACCTACCAGTGGCGTGGGGGCTGGAGCCCCAAATAGAAATATCTTCTTGTACTGTTCAAATGTGAAGAACTTGACGGCCCGCTTCGGTGTTTCTGCCAGGATCGGGGGCAGGATGCCCTTGTAAACCGATAAGGCCCTGCGGTCAGAAACACAGACATTCATAAACAACTATAAATTGAAACGGTTTCGAAGTAAAAAGGAGAACAAATGTGATTTGAAGCTTTGCAAGGCCAAATGGTAAACTGAACCCAATGAAATTAATCTCCTCTGAATAGTGTAATGCAATGCACAACCAGTGAGTATCGAATAGTGCTTATTCGAGTGTTGGTTGCTGGGCTATATGCTACCCCAGGCTAGTACATAGCCGTTGTGTACATGCCAGTAGCATGTTGTTGTTGGGCGCCAGGGTATAAAGCGCCTCGCGCAATAGCGTTGCTCTCTTTCTGCTGCGGCCAGTAACCAGAGTGTGGTCCCTGTGAAGTCTGCTCTAGCAGTAATTAATCTCCTACAATTAAACAATCACCTTGACAGCAAGTCACAGGCGAGGGAGCCTCGTACGCTGTGTGAGTACAAACTGGTAAATGATCCCTGTACCGCTTCTAATCCCCGATAATTGAGTGATCTCTGAAATTACATCTGAGAAGCGATTAAGCATAAGATCACGTAGGTGAGGCACCGATGTAGGCGAGAAACTTGATTGGTGAAGAAACCATTAAAACTAAGGGTAGGCGCAAAGTTGTGTCACGTTTCCAATACTTCCCCAATGGGCCCCCCGTCTGTTAGCCCAGTGGGTGGTGTGAAAGCGTGTGAGGGTGTTCTTTTGGTAGTGTGCTGCTGGCCTGGTGCTAGACTTCCTCCACAATGGATCTGCGTTTCCTGCCGAAGAGGTTAACCGTTCACCAATATATGCAGAGACCGACCCGGGCAGTCGTCCAAGGGCCATACCGCCAAATTAGTTCCAGTGGTGAGATGGACAAAGTACACTGTCTGAGCTGGAAGGCAAGGAGGGGGGAGAAGGGGGTGGCAAGGAGGGGAAGGGGCGAGAGGGCCAAACGTTTTATAGTGTAACATACCCTTCTGTGCGGTACATTCTGCGGACCACATCAAACATCGAGGTACCATACACCACTCCTTGAGGCCCACCCTGGATCTGAAATCTGACAAAAGAGGAATAAAAACAACTTGACAAATGACCAAAGCAACAGTGCTTTAGGTTGGAACAACAGGCCAAAGGTACTTTTTGATTCCAAGAATACTTGGAAATGAAACGAGTCACAACTTTACATCTCATTACCGTGTTTTAATGACATCTAGGGGATGCATCAAGCTGACCTCAACCAGACCTGAGATTAAAAATAGTCAGAAAAAAAGAATATGGTCATTACTATTCTGGAATGTATTTCACTTGCGACCAATGCAACATAACAACCAAAGAAGATTTCATATTGGATATGGTTTTATGAACTAGTCCGAAAATTTGGCACTCTCAATACTGTGTATGAGAGTCCCAAAAATTCAGAAAGTGAAAACATGCAATGCAAGATAACAGACCAGCACATGAAACAACCAGTCCAACACCCCATTGCTACTGCATCAATCAACTGTGTCAAAAGAAACATCTGGCACCTCGTCTCCATTTCTACACTTTCTCTCCATAGTCATCAGGTCATGCCACCAGACTATCTTAGCTAAGGGTCAATCTTTTCAAAAAGTTGGACATTTACCACAAAACCAGTCAAGTCTTGGGCTTCAAATTTAAATCACTTGGCTTCACTCTCAGGTGCAAAATGTTGAAGGATCATCTCCTTTAAAAATTGAATTGAGGCCTAACTTGGCTGGTGAAATACTGAGGACCTTGTCTTTTGCCTCATGAAAATCTTAGAGAGTTTAGTCAGCTAAACATGAAAAGAGTGAGTAAATTTGGTCTGACTTTGTTTTGCATTTTTTTTTTCGCACAGGTCCCAGTATGGATTAGTCTATGAGCAGATTCACTGATTAATTAGGCAAGACCCCGCCTCTTGATCTCCTAGATTTTGACCAATCAGCAGGCGCTTTCTATATAGGGTATTCGGTCATTCACCTGTTGCGCGCGTCATAGACCATGGATAAAAAGTACCTGTGTCATGCGCTCTGTATCTGTTACACGATAATGCACCCGGCTATTGTTGTATTACAAAACACTGCATTCGAATTGACCAATCAAACCATTTAGCCCTGATTTGGGAATGAAATGACGTCAAGATTTTGTAAAGTCGACTCCGATTGGCTGGCGCGCGGCTTGCACATATCTGCATGTCTATAGACATATCAGACGTTTTACAGGACTTGGCTCAGTGGATAACGGGTGATACTCAAAGTATGGATATGCACCACACAAAAAATTACAAACAGTAGGCCTATAGCTCCATGCACTATGGAATGCACCCTGACACTTAAGTTTATAGCTACATTTACTCAGTCTCAGAGCACTAGTCATTGCTTTCATGTGATCATAAAGATGTTGCACTGAATCGAATGGATTGGTGAAGTTATCCATTTTACCTGCTGATCCTCCTGCAAGGATCTGGCGCCCTCCCTCCTTCAACCTGTCTCCCACAGTGACTGCTTCGGACATGGTAGTAAAATGACTGCCGACAGTGCTAACTTTGGGAAGAAATAAAAGATAATCAGAAGCTGAACCTTAATCAACATGTTAATGACATCATGGAGGACCATGATGACATGTAGTGTGCTTTTATCGGTAGTAGGGAAACCGGGTATCTGATTTAAAAAAACATTGGTACCCGGGCTGGGGTACATACCGTTAAAGAAACACAACCCCAAAATTCAAATCTTGAAAGTTGTTGTTCAGATTGTTCACGATTAAAGGTCGTATCCGCACAATAATAGTACCACATCGATCGGTGCATCAATACAGCACTTAACCGCAACTTTCACGAGCATCATAAACATGAAAATGTTTGGTTTTCCCATGTAGCCTGGTTTTAATTTTGAAAATTCCCCACATGACATTCAAAACCTTTCTTTTTCATTGTCTGAGAAGTTAATATTATCCTAATTTGTAAAGTTGGTTACGGGTACCTGATCCAAAAATCTGGAACCAGTTCCTGACATCAACGGTCGGGTACTCGGGTACCCGGTTTTGATCATTGATGTACACCCCTATATCATGTATATGACAGTGAACAGTCACTAGTCTAAACAGAAATTTCAATTGTTGATTTTAAAACAATACAAATTATATATGTTCCCTAAATAAACTCTCATTATTATTTTTGATCATAGCTCCATGGTTCGTCCGTGCTTCCAGAGTTTCGCCACCATGCCCACTGAGCCCCACTCAGTCATATGCCACTGCCATCAGTTTGGCCATGACTGCCAAATGACTGCCTCCCTCCCTAGCCCTCCCTCCGATCCCGCCCGTCAACTAGTCCGAGTAACTAGGACTCTACGAATCGCCTTTTTTAACTATCGCCCGACCATGTCCAAATGTTAAAAAAAGGCGATTCGTAGAGTCCTACTCCTAGTTAGTACTAGTAGTTACTCGGACCATAGGCCTACCCGTCAACCAACTAACGTTATGCCCGAACATGCCGAAAGCCAAGCATGCCTAGCTTGGACACGTGCAAATACTTGCGATCTACCTACCAACAAAGGTGATAAAATGCGTGACCGGCTCCTTGTTAAATTATGTTGAATATTGCGCGCAAAATGCAATGTCTACCCCCAGACCACTGGCCTCCACATGTCAGATGTCACACACACCAAGGCCGGCCGGCCGGTGTCATATGAAAATGGGACTCGTATGAAAATCGGACTCTTTTTCCCTTTTATTGGTTAAACCTTCTCACGTGACCGGTCCCTCTCCTAATTATCTATGCATGAGCATGCGCAATACCACCAATGAGTCCGTATTTCATAAAACCTAAATTCATGCTACACCTGCACAAGTGCAACACCCCTTTGCACAAGTGCAACACCCCTTTCCACACCGACGGTAAGTGTTCGTGTTGCGCTCCTGGCCCGAGCTATACCATCAACCCAACTTAAGTTGGGACGGTCCCAGCTATAGTGTTGCAGTTGGGCCGGCCCAACTATAGTTGAGACACTGATAAAGCTCCTCTGTTCTCACGCGCGCGTGGTGGCACGTTTCAGGCACATTTCACGTCTCCTTGTCCGATCACGTTTGTTTGGATACTAGATTTAGTCGGGCTTGCTTGAATACAGTTCTTATCATCGGTCATTTTAGATTTGTTTGTAAATGAGAAGTAGTCCTTCAAGTTTATTTTAAAAAGATGTGTGTCCCATGCCCAAAAGAAAGGATTTTTAGTTTCAGTTTTACCCAATGACCACCACAAAATTATTTCATAAATTTTCGTCTTTGTACAAGTGCTCCGAGTTCCACTAGTCCACGTTTATTTTAGATTTTCGGAAGTGAGAAGTCAATTTAAATTTGGCACGATATTTCTCTTTCACGTCATGCGATTTTTAAATTTCCATAAATTGAGATGCAGGTAACATATACAAAGGCCTTTTCCCGTAAGAAATCAATGTACCAAAAAAAAATTTTTTTTAACTCCGACTTTTACAGGCTAATTTTCCTATTCGAGCTTCGGGTCGGGTCGCCGGGTCGGGTCCGAGTTTGGCCATCATTTCAGTTGGGTCGAGTCGGTTTCGGATTTGCGCTTGCGATTTTCGCCGTCGAGAGTCACGTCGGGTCGGTTGGTTAAGCCATTTTGGAAAAACCGAAATAGGCGAGAGAGAAAAACGAAACAGTTCTGAAATTCACACGGTACAATATTTATTGAAGAGTCACTGTGCTCGGCACGACCAAAATGGTTTGTGGTCTATCACGCCTGGTCTTTAACATCTAGGCCTACCAGCACGTTTTGCCGTACGGTAAGATCAGTGGCGTCACCAGACTTTTCAGTCTGGGGGGGCACAGGGGGGGCACCAGCATTTGATGGGGGGGGCACTTAAGTGGATACGGATCGCCATCCTGGGGGAGGGGTCTAAGGGGAGGGGGTGCCCCCCTCCCCTTTGGAAAATTTTCGCATACGGAGGATGGGCTAGATGCAAAATGGTGCCACATTTGCAGCTCATTTGAAGAAAATACGAATTACTGTGCTTCTTTGTCCTTACTAGTGCAGTGCCCGTCTAAAATGTGCATGTTCGGGAAGCGCAAATTGCTTTGCCGCTGGTATAGGTTGCATACTTGCAGAGTTTTGGAGAACTGCTCGTGCAAACAACGCACGCGATTCAATGGTGTTGTTTTCACAGGTTGAACGCACACTTAGGTCAAAGTTTGTGCCAAGTTTGAAGTTCGACCACCTACAATGGTCGCTCAGTCGACTGCAAAAATAATGTGCCCGTGTACATACGAAAACATGGTATGCAGTGCTATTCACCCGTACTGGACAATGTGTCGGCCTACACCACTGCACGTGCGCGTGTCCGTGCATTGTTTGCGTCATATTGAGCGCGCGCGCTTTAGCCTATACATGACGTAAACAATTGAAAAGAACGGCAGTGCGTGGTGTTATGTTCTAAGCTGCCACGTTTGCCTCCGAAAATACTGCTTTTTTGCAGCTTTTTCGAGAACCGAGAACCGCTGTTCCAAACAACTTCAAACTTGGCACTGCACATTCTGTGGCCCCGAGAAATACACCCGCCGATTCTCAACTTCATACGGTGCCCGGTTCTGGAGATAATCGGCGGACAGACAGACAGACAGAGATTCCTGGAATTATAGTAAGATGAAAAACCAACTCAGATGATGGGAGTTGAATATAACAAAATATATATATATTTTTTTACCAACCCAAATCTCAGATGGGGGGGCACTCGGGGGGGGGGGGGGGCACTAGGTTTTCCAGGGGGGGCACGTGCCCCCCTGGCCCCCCCTTGGCGACGCCACTGGGTAAGATTCAGTAGTTACTGAGAGAGACTTTCAGGCGACGGACACGGATAAGTTCAGGCCATAACAAGCGGACAGTTGCCCAAGCCAGATATTCGGGGGGTTTTCGGGTCGGTTCGGTTTCGGGTCGGTTTCGGGTCGGTTCTCCTTGAGTTTTTTCGGTCGGGTTGGGTCGGTCGGTTTTAGGGAGTTCAGATCGGTTTCGGTTCGGATTCGGTTTATATCTATAATGTTTCGGGTCGGTTTGGCCTCAGTGGTCAACCCGACCCGAATGCACAACACTAGTCCGGAAGCGCGCCACCAGCGGTGACAACTTTACCGTATGTAGCTAGCTGGGCAGGCCCAACTGGAACACTTTAGTTGGGACGGTCCCGACTTAGGTTGGGACACTTGTTATAGCTTGGGCAAACAACTGTGCTCTGTACGAGGAGGACGCAAAGTTGTGAATACATCCGCTTGCAGGAGGTATAGTCTCCTGTGCAGACTTCAGACCATTCGAGGCTTGATACACACAGTTCAGAAGTCGTACTTCATTGACAAATGTGCAAGACTGCGGAGACATGCACTCTTCGCGAATGAAAGACAAATGAAAGTGTCATTCAATTCAATTCCATTCAATTAATGTATTTATTCATCATGATTAAACTGATCATGAAATTCTGCATCCTGTGTGTTAAAAACAATGACGTTCACGAACCCTGGACACTAACCTTAAAGTTCAATACCCGTCGCGCTCTTCAAAACAAATCTCCATTAAACGAATGTTCCATTTGTATTTTATTTTTTTTACAGGAAAAACTACTTTATTCCGAAAAAGAAAACAATTTAATTATATTTCTAGCACAAATGAACCCGACCCGCGAGAGCCGAATTACTTGTCTGACAGCTAATGATTTGATTTTTTTGTGAAGAAGTAATTCAATTGCTCAACTTTGGTACATTGTTTTGTTAGATGTCTCGAAGTGAATAACTTTATTTTGCTATAGGAATTGCCATTAATTCTTTTTCTTCTATTTTTCGAGTCGATTCTCAAAGAAAGTACGGGAAACGCATCTTTTAAAATGAAACACTAGATGAATATAGTTTAAAGACAGTTAACAACCACCAACACATTAACTAAATACAGCGCTAATACTATCACTCAAGAACAGTTATAGAACACATAAAATATAAAAAATTGTAGGGGACTAGTACGTGCAGGGGTTGGAGTGGAAGTACCGAGGGAGTGATCAGAGGTGCAGATCACTTGAACTAGGCGGGCCTAAACCCATCCGCCGAGCTCATGAATAAAAGTTATACCCTCAAAATATTCTATATTATTAGAGAGGTCTGAGAGCCATACATCGGGGGTTGAAGCGATATGACAATGAACCTCTGGCCCGGACTTGGAGATTCCAATTATGAACATTTTGGATGCAATTGGGCTCGAAAGGCGCTATTTTGCCATGTGGAGGGATCGTTTTTTCAAGATGACTACTTTTCCGCTTTGGGAAAAATAGGGGTCGTCTTCTGTGGGTGAGAATTTCTCTCTTTGATCATCATTAATTTCTATGCAGCTTAATACCTGTGAGAGTTCTGAGTATTTTTAAAACTTGATTTTGAAGTTTGGGCATTTAGCACTGGTGTCTATGGGACTTTTAATACTGCAGGGGTGCATCCTTAGGGAATGAAGAGTGGGGATGGAGCAGGGCAAGGAACAAACGAGTGCAGTGGTGGGTGAGAATCAAGGGAGAATACTAGCAATGCATGAAGTGTTTAGTTAGATAAATAGGGGGTAAAACTAAGATGAAGTGATAATTAGGCAGGGAAGGAACGCCAAGAGCCAGGGTTAGCCATGAGGATTATTTGTCAACAAAATGACACGGAGGGGGGAAATTAAAAGGTTAGTTATTCCCTTCCTGGATGTTGAGTTCATGGCTGAATAATCCGAAGACGTTTCATCCACACTTACTTTCTTCCTGCTGCGAACTGAGTACTTGCAATGGCCAGTGATTCTATATGATTCTATAGTGATTAAATATAAACATATTTAATACCCCAAACTTTAAAACTTCTAAATTAATGGCAGTAAAAACAAAATTAATGGAAGAACATACAAACCAATTAAAACAAAATAATTCTCTGAACTCCATACAGTGGATGCGCATATAACTTGATAAAAAAAACTCCTCCCCAAAGAAAACAAAAACAAACTTCTTTCGTTGCACTTATGGTTGGTAGTGATGTACGGTCATGCGTGTAATCAAGAACTATAATAATTGGGACGATTCAAATAAGACATGAACCGTTATGCTAATTGTTTGTATATTTTAATACAAACAGTTTTTTTTTACAAAAAAATATTTTCTGTGGGGGACTGGATAAACATGTTATTTGTTAATACGGTTCGTTCGTTCCCCAGTCCGAGATGTCCAGCAGGGAAAAAAAGTTGAAAAAGTCAAGTTTTGTTTCAGTTTTTTTTTCATACTCCAGTTTTATTTTATACTCCAAAACATCTATACACACTAAGATTAAAAGGGGAAGAAAAAATGCATCAGTGACCTTAGTACCATCAGTCGTAACAACCCAACTTTTGAAACGCAAGAACGTTGCTCGAAAAACGTCTATGTCCAGGGCATTGTTGTTTCGATCTCCTCAAACTGCATACGTTCAAGGACACACTCTCTGTGTTTAGTAAACCGCCTCGGTATCGAATTTTGTATTTGTCGATACCAATAATTTCGATATCGAACAGGTGAGACAAATGAAACAGTAAAACATAACAAAAACAAAACAACACATAAAGCATTCCTGATGGGGTTAATTTCATGGAAAATAACTGTTTCTAAAAAAACACTACTTTGTTAAAATAAACGTATCTAATAATGATTGCTGAGTTTTGAAGGTGCAAAAAGTAGTTGACTCTTATTTCTTCGACTCTCAGTTTCGATATATCCAGTCATGTATCGATTGATCATCCAGTCACCGTTGAAGTATGCAAGATGGCGGAGAGTGCGCGTCGGTTTCTGGGCAGCAGTCCTTCGCGGACACTTGCAAGGAATTATGATCCGTACGGAGGAGGTGATGAGGATATAATGCGGATGGAAGACATGCACCATGCTGTGAGCCAGACAAAAGACAAGATTGGGAGCTTGCGACAGGCGTTATCAGAAAAGTATGCGGTTTAAAGGCCCGTGAAAAGTGAACCAACACTAGCTTGAGTAACTCCAGCTGACATGCTCCATTTTCATTCACATGTAACGCTGGAGGTAGCCCCATTAATGTGGCCTATTTACTGGACTGCCTCCGTAAACATAGGCCACACATCCACATGTACAAAAATCGTGTCGACGGAGCCAAATTTTGATTTTCACATTTAGGCTTAGTTTGTAGGGTTTTTTGCTTTAGAAGCATACTCACCCTCTTTATAGGCTAATCAGAAAGTGCTGCCTTTTTCAGATGTATATTTTTCGTGAAATTTCCAGATTCATTTTTACACGTTTGCGTATCAAAATTTCAACATGAAATTTCACAAAAATTAGACATCTGAAAAAGGCAGCACTTTCTGATTAGCCTGTAAAGAGGGTGAGTATGCTTCTAAAGCAAAAAAAACCTACAAACTAAGCCTAAATGTGAAAATCAAAATTTGGCTCCGTCGACACGATTTTTGTACATGTGGATGTGTGGCCTATGTTTACGGAGGCAGTCCAGTAAATAGGCCACATTTATGGGGCTACGCTGGAGGCATAACCTGTTTGTTAGAATGTGGCAGCAAGAGACCCTAATTTTTTTTTTAGGGCCTAAAAAAATGGCCTCTCAAAAATTGTTCATTTTCACCTCTAATATCCCACCCCAGACATGCCAGAGTTCATTTACATACCTCATACATTCAGCAGTCATTTACGAAGCCTGATGATCGACTTGAAACAGACGGTGCTGACCACACAAAAAAAAGTGAAAAATCTTGACGATTTCGGTGGCTTGTCCGTAAAAAAACGCCAGTTCCAACGGCTGTCGTCCATTTTATTTTGCTAATTATGTAAATGTATGCATCACGTGATGACATTGAAATGAAAAAAATCTGCGTGCGCGATGTATGTGGGTACCACACCGCTTTCAGGCGCCGCAAGTGAGTTCAATTTTCGTCTGGTGCGTTGTCGTGGAGAGCATTCTGGTTGTCTTGCTTAATTTAAGCAAGACAACGAGAATGCTCTCCACGACAACGCACCAGACGAAAATTGAACTCACTTGCGGCGCCTGAAAGCGGTGTGGTACCCACATACATCGCGCGCGCAGATTTTTTTCGATGTCATCACGTGATGCATACATTTACATAATTAGCAAAATAAAATGGACGACAGCCGTTGGAACTGGCATTATTTTAAGGACAAGCCACCGAAATCGTCAAGATTTTTCACATTTTTTTTGTGTGGTCTGTTTCAAGTCGATCATTAGGCTTCGTAAATGACTGCTGAATGTATGAGGTATGTAAATGAACTCTGGGGTGGGATATTATTAGAGGTGAAAATGAACAATTTTTGAGAGGCCAATTTTTTAGGGTCTCTTGCTACCACATTCTAACAAGGCAGTGTATATTTTGCCGGAGACGGCAAACCTTTAGTAAACGTTAGTTTGCCGGATATGCACTGAACATGCGCAGTTACTGTTTTTTTGTACTTAAACTTTTTCCGGTGAAAAGTTTTAGTCTGGCTCCATGCCAAAATTATCGTTGTTACCTCGTATTCACAAGATGGGATTCAGACCATTTTGTAATTTCGGACTTTATTTCCCTTTTAAAAAAATCCTCCAGAGCCACAAATCTGAAAAAGAAAATGTAATACTCTGCAAAAAATGTTTGAGACATGTTAAAATAATAAAAGAAGAATATTCTTATTTATTTGGGGATGAGAAAAAAAAACTTTAAAATGTGGTGCGGTTGGAATCGAACGCGAATCATCCCGCTTACTAGAGCCTTTGCTTAACCATTACACCAAACGTGCTACACAACTTTTAGTGGGAATTTAATACATCTTATAATTCAGCCCTATTTTAAAGAGTACAGCGCCCTCTGTTGATAAGGATTGCCGCCGGCAAACCTTTAGTAATCGTTAGTTTGCCGTCATTACCTCCGGCAAAATATCCACTATCTTCTAACAAACAGGTTATGCCTCCAGCGTTGCATGTGAATGAATATGGAGCATGTCAGCTGGAGTTACTCAAGCTAAACCAACACCAACAGCAAACATGATCAGTTGCCTGCATGCCCTTAGCCGGCGGGCCACAAGGCCAGCTTTGAATTATTTTCGTCTACGTGCAGTTGGTATATAGCGCGCCCTGGCAAGCACATCCAAACGATAATTTATCCAGCAAACTAGCATTTATTAAAAGAAAACTGGCACAGCCAATATGACTTGGCCTATTTGAAAATAATGTGTACTTAAAGGAACCAGCACCTGATTTCACAAAGCGCTGCAACGTGTTGCAACCCGAGTTACGACTTGCGATTTACTGAACGCGTCGTAAGTTCCTTGACAAAAACACGTCGCAAGTTATGACGTGTCTAGGGCCTAGGTCATCGCAAAATAAGAAGCGTCCTTTTCTTAACCAGTTTTATGCCATAAAAATACATATTTAAACTGAGACTATCATTGATGTGTGTAAAGTTGTAAAAAGAAAATGCATTGAATAAATAGGAATTAGCCTGGAATATTGCAGTTGAAATTACAAAGTAGATAGGCTACAGTCCACTGAGAGCTTGTTTTCCTTTAAAATTGCATCACTCATCCGCCATTTTTATTTTACGTTTTAAAAACGACTCTTTGTTGAATAGCAGACAACTATTTTCTATTGGCTGACTGAATACATAAAACAGTTACCGAGTTGTGCTATAAATACACCTATGTCGCGTCGCAATTACAACTTGTTTTTGTGAAATGGATCGCAGGATTGCTGCGATGCATAGTAGGGATACGACGCGTCGCAGCGCTGCGATGCACTGTAAGTTACGATGAGTTTCATGAAATCGGGTGCAGGCTCCAAGACTCCCTGGAGCCAAATATCCAGTGCCTTAAGGCTGGTTCATACTTCCTGCGAATGTAATTTGAATTTTCGTCACGAAGCATTCGCTGCGAAATTCGCAGGAGTTGAAATGTGTTCAACTTTTGCGAATTTGCAGTGTGAATACGTGCTCTGATGTCACAAATTTACATTCACGTTCGCTTTCGCGCCGAGTATGAACCGGCCTTTAAAAGAGAGATAGGTTGGACTCGTGAATATATTGCTGTTGTACATTCAGCATAAAGTTAGACGTCTATGCTTATTACTTCTGAAACTAACTGGCAATCCTGAAAGATAGTTCTTCAGTGTGAACAGAGTTTCGTCCTCATTTGGTAATATTTTGTTTGATTGTAGAAATCAAGTCATCAGAAGGGAGCGTTCTCTGAGGAAGGCCGCAGAGCGTCGTGAGCTGGACAGATCCACAGAGGATACCTTTGTTGACATGTATGCAGGCTCCAGTCCATCTGTCAATGAAGAGCTGAAAGACTGGCTGTCCCCGGCCAAGCAGAGAGACCGCATATTACGGGGTAAGGGCTCAGCTCCTAGGCAAAGTTGAGTCATATAACATGCTACTCACAAGTCAATCCCAAGTGCATACCAAGTTGATCATGCATGTAAGTCAATCACGCTCTGAATCGAACGTCCGGTCACAAGTCAAACCCCAATTCAGGTCAGAAGTAAGAGGGAATAAGAAGCAATGACATCACAGGCCCTTTTGGCCTGTTTGGAAAGTTTGTGATAGGACTTGAGACTAGATGGCTCTTGATTGACTTGGTAACAATGCTGCTCAAGATTTCTCCGTGTAAAATCCTCCCTCTTTAGAAACCTGCCCAAGGGAATCGACAAGTTTGTGTTACATTGTAGGTATTTCACAGTTGGAAATACTTAAAGGCACCAAAAAGCATGAAAAAAATACAAAAATGTGGCTTTCCCTTAAAAATACATGTAGGCAAGATCCAAGGTTGGTCAAACTGTATAAATCAAGTTGGTCCAAAACGTAAGAAACAATATACAGTTGTAATTGTAAGATTCTGAGCCTGCTAGCAAGCTCAGAGTCTTGAAGCAGTTGGGTCTTGCGATATTTGGGTGGCTTGGGTGGCTAGTGCGTAAAGCCCTCTCACCAATGTGGCCTGGGTTCGATTTCTGGCTCGGACCGTATGTGAGTAGACTTGTTTGTTGATTCTCTCCTGTGCCGTGATTTTTGTTTCTGGGCTCTCCGGTTTTCCTCCCATCGCAATAATCAACACTTCGATCTCCCTGTGCTTCGTGGTCAGACATGGGTCGTATGGCAGCTGCCTAAGGCACCTTTACATGCCTTTGGCTCGACCACATTGTAGCCGCGTCCTTCGCAATTCAGCTCTTCTCAACTGCCATTAAGGATGATTAACCCCCCCCCCCCCACACACACACACAATATGATTGGAAGCAACTTGTTGCACTGAGTAGGCTTAACACTTTGACAACTGTTATTTGTTTACTGTGTGTAGCCAAGGTGTTGTGTGTCGGTTGGTGGTTACAGTAAGAGGCTACTCCAAAAGCAAATTTCCATATTTTTAAACCAAAGAAGGTGATCATAAGCCTTTGGGGTTTTTTTTTCAAGGTGGTAAACCGCATCCCAAGGAAAAAGAGCTCCAGAGAAAGACAGAAGCCACTGAGCGGTCTCCCAAGGAAAGTAAAGGAGTTGATCAGACGGACGCACCGAAGGATGACCTGACCCTGACCTCAGAGGATGACATGAGAAGTGAGGAGATGGAGGATGTAAGGGGAAGACAGGAACGAAGATCTAGGAAACCCAGGAGAAGAAGAGGTATGAAGTGTGCTGATTATATAAGATTTACTTTCCTATTCAATATGGAATCCATGGAATAGACAAGTGGTGGGCAGCTGTGTTTAGTCATCCCCACTTCTTTTTATGACCAAGTCAGACTGTATTTAAAGATATAGTCCATCATTTGTAATTTGTGCTTTTTGTTCGTTTGAAGCAACAAAAGTGTTCAAAATCTAATGAAGGATACTGAACAACTAACCTGATGAAGTTTCAGCTCAGCTTCAGCTGTATATTCCAAGAAAAACAGCATTCTAGGATCTCAATTTCAAATCAAAAGTTGCTGAATCATGTTTTGAATTGTTCTGAATTGCAGCTATATGCGATGTCGCGCACTGATCCGACGAATTATAGCAACCGCGCGCTCATGTGCGTCGTGCCAATGCTTGCGCGCACTGCGCCGAATAACAAAACGAACTACTAATTTAAATTTTCCTACGGTGCGTCTTAAGACGCACCGTTGGAAAGGCCTTCTTTCGTTGATTACTGCAAAATGATAGCTTGCCAGAAAGATTAATTTCACAGGGAGTTTAGTCCACTTACTATCTTTCAACCAAGTATGTTTTTCAACAATAATACGCCAGTTACTTTTTCGGATGGCTGCAAATGATGGACTATAGCTTTAATCCTGCCTTGTAATATTCTCCTTCATTGCCTTCGATGAGGAAATTGTAGCCAAACTGTTAACGGTACATGCCTTCACCAGATATGTACTTTAAAGGGATGTGTACTTTACATCTCCAGAATGTCTTTTTTTTTTTTAGATTTAACACATTCTTACCTTTCAAAAAATCCCAAATCTGGTTGCTGGCAAATGGAAAGAACAAGTTATATAGACAAAAATTGTGTTTCGTGATTGAAAGGTTGAAACTGAAACTGGTCTTCAACAGGTTAGAATATGAACATTCTTCTTTGGATTTTCAGTGGTGTTGTTATTGGAAATGAAGAAAATGCATGAAAAGCCTTTAAGTACAAAAATGTTTTGCTTTGGTCTCCCTTGCGGAGGAAGAATTATAGGATGCAGGATGTTTCCTGGCAAAATAAAGTTAGGGTTTTAAAAAGGTACATGTATCTATATTTACCTATCTGGATCATAAGCAACGGTTTTTCATTCTTTACAGCTCACGATGATTACTACCTTGACAGCCGCCCAGCCTGGAACTCCAACTTTACCATGCCCCCTGCTCATGGTGCCTGGTACAACCCCAGCATGGGTTACTCGGTGCCGGCCAACGCCTGGGTCAGTCCTCCCCGCATGGGACCACTAGACCAGGGCCAGTGGCCCAGCTATGCTCAGTTTGCCCACAATGAGCCCAACCTAGCCCGCGGGCCACCGGCGGTCAGAAGACACAGCGATGTTGGGCAGGCCATCCCTGATTTGACCACTAGTCCTGAAGGAAAGAATGCATCAACTGAGATGAAAGGTTGGTAATGAAACACTGACTGCTTTTAAACACTTTTTTTCTGGTGTCACTCGAAATTTGGACTCCTGTGAAATCTGGTCCCTTTTACCCTTTTATTGGTTGAACCAGTCACTCTCCTAATTATCTTCACTTAGGCATGCGCAATACTACAAGTGAGTCCGTATTTCATAGAGTCCTAAATTTTAGCACCGCTGTGTTCTGTGTCACATCTCACAGTATGCTCCATGCGTCGCGCCAACCTCCATATAAGGAGATTTTTGGTACTTCTCGTGCGAGGCACATACCATAAACATAGCTAGAAGGGGTGTTTTACAGAACATGAAGTAAAATTGTTGAATTTTTTTTGGAAATTCCTAATTTTTGACTGAAAGGTATTCATGCATATGGGAATAAATTTGTGCTTGGCCTGTCTTAAACAATTGCATTTAACACTGGCTGGGAGCCTAGACACGGATAATGAACCTTGCCTTCAACGGGCCATTATCCATGTCCAGGCCCCCAGGCGCCGGCCTCCCCCCCCCCCTCCTCCTGCCAATTTCAAACGTACTTGTTTAAAACCCGCCAAGCATATTTATTCCCTGAAGAATTCCCTTGTTAATTTGATATATCCATGCTTTGACTGGAGGTAATTGATATGCCAACTGTAGCAGTTACCTCTTTTGTCTGTTGATGGAATTTGACTAGTCACAGTGTTCACATGAATGTGATCTGGCTGTTTTTTTACAAGTCTGTATACAATTGCATGGAAGGGCAAGTGGAGAAATTTTTGACTGCCTGTGACTGATAAAAAAATAAGAGGCATTTTAACTCTTTCAGTGCCTGCGAAATTTGAAAAGTTTAACCCTAAAGGGCCCAACTTCGAGCGTTTTTTTTTAATTGTTCAAAATTCTGTGAAAAAAAAGTAAATAAGTTTTACTCACTAAATTTGTTGTTGTTGCTCTCTGGTATATCCTTGGTACATTGGAAAGTCAATAGTAGTCACATACGTAGTGATACACCCTGAAACACTATCCTGCACACAGGGGAATTCCGCACTTTTTGCAGAAAATACGAGTTTTAGTGCTGCGCCCTCTTGCAAGAACTCAAATGAAACAAATAAATACAGGTCGTACCTGAATGAAAATGATATTATTAGAAAGAGTGAGAGCGCCCCCTTGTGATAACATGCTTACTCTACCTCGTACATGTACAAGGTTTGGCGATTTTAAGTACGAACATTACCTCGTACATGTACAAGGTTGGCAATTTCGAACCAACAAATATACCTCGAACATGTACGACTTTGGCACTGAAAGAGTTAAGAGGCATTGCACTCATGTTAAACACACTTGATTACTTACTGCTATTCTGCAACCATTTTGTCGTTTTTGCAAATTAGAATAGGGAAATGGTAAGGTACCTTCCAGATTGCTATCACACTAGCTGTAACCACAATAAGCAAGATGATAAAATAATGTTGGGTTCCGGTGTGCGCAGCGAAGCAGTGTGATTGTGTGGGCTGCACCAGTCAGCATGTAAAGTGGTAACCATGCTTGTGCTAGTCGGACACTGAGCGACTTCACAGCTTGTAATTTCAGTGATTCAATGTGTGAAACAGATTCATCCAAGGTGTCTCCTTCTGCCAACGCAGCCCAGCCTGGCCCGCAGGTTACCAGCACACCCATCAGGATAGTAGTGGATAGGGGAACCAGTGCCAAGACAGACTTTGAGGAAGGTGTACCAATGCTGCTGTCGGAGCTTGGCTCAACCAGAGATATCAACAAAGAGGTAAGGCGTCATCTCAATAATCATCCCAGAAAGGTTTAGGGAGCTGTCTCACCAATAGACTAGTTGCATCTCTGTCAGCATTATCTGGAAGATCCGTTATGTAAAGCAGTCCGCAACAGTCAAGTAGTGACTCACAAAGTTTCAAAAACCTCTGCAAAAATGCAGACTTTCTATCGGGCAAAGTGGACAGGGCTATCTGGGAGACGTTTTTTTTTGGTTTTTTAGCTTGTCACAAATTGTCCAAGACTAAATCCAGTGTCTATTGTTTCTGTCACAGTTGCAGGAGAGACTTCTTGAGACAGAACAGGAGATTGAATCCCTCCGGCTTTCTCAGAGTCTTACAGAGGCAACACTGGAGGCTCGGGTAGCAGCCAGAGCTGCGGGTAAGTTGGCCAGTCGATGGTCTCAAATGTCAAAGAAATATCCCTCCCCCTCCCCCCTCCCCCCCCCCCCCCCCCCCTCCTACGACAGAAACAAAAAGAGAACCCTCGGGCAACAACGTCTGCAATTCCCCAACACCATATTGCATGTTCTTGCTGTGCAATTAAAGTGCCCACACGTCAAACTTTTATTGGACATTCCGTTTGTTGTAAATGGTCAAAATATCATGGGGTAGGGCATACGGGACAGAGCACCTCATCTGCCGACTCTGTCTATAGAGTCTGTCTATAGAGTCTGCACAAGTACCGCCTCAACGGTTACAATAAGTAGAGTTTGGGGAGACCACTGGGAGGGAGATTTGATAGTACATGTACACCTGGCACTCACGAGAAGATGCAATGGGTTTGTGCACATTCTGATTGAAATTACTTGTGCATACTTGTGCAGACATGCGATGTGTGCCCGCTAGGGCTCTCAAAAGTTGTGCAAAAGTGCCGTCAATTGTGCGTGACATCGATCCATTAATTGGCCAGTGTGTGTCACATTTGTTTTTTCTTGTGTGCCTTGCACTCTCGAAAAGAATACACAAAGGCAGCCTCATCCTGATAGGAACTTCATGTACCGGTATAGCAACCAAACAAGCAAGCCAGATGTCTGCATCTTCGTGTGTACTGATAACTTGTTTCAGAGTTATGGGTACCACACACCAGTTGTACAAAATGTTTTGTAGGGACCAAAAATGTTGTGGGGACACTTGAAAGTCCCCACAACATGGTTCACATTTTCCGGGTAGAAATCTAAACATATCACTGACCCTGCAAAAGCATATCGCAAATGAATTTTCAGTTTATTTGAGATTGTAATTAAATTTGAAATAGAAGGTTGATATTGACCGTGTAACAATGGCATATCATTCACTTAAATGACTGACAGTGGGAGACCATGTGTGTGCATTTCCAAGATGGTTATGGCAATCTTTCACCTTTCGCTCTTACCCCCCGCCCTGAAAACAGGATGCTGGGATACTCTGATGAGTTCGCGCTCTGATTGGTTGGATTTTGCGTGACCTGTGACCTGCGCATCATCACGGTCATGACTCTGTAAGGTTTGAAACGGCCGTTAAGACTGATTCATTACTCTTTTATTCCAGTTTAGAGATTTTGTTTTTTTCGTTGAAAAGCATAATAATGTAGAAAATTCTGTAAAACTTATCTGCGTTGTAAATTTACAATTCCCGTCACTTGCTCAGGCTCCGTTTCGAATCATGAACGGTCGGATTGCATTATGTGATGCTCAAAATTTTGTCCACATGGTCCGCAATGAAACAGAAATCACATCGGGTATGGAGTGTGCGCATTTCTATGGGAAAGTTTTCGGATAGCATTTGCGCGCATTGACTATCTGCGGTCTTGAACAGCTGCAGCCAGATGCTTTATACATAGGTCATAGGCCACTTCCTTTACAAGACTGTGAAGCTCATCAGAGTATCCCAGCATCCTGTTTGCAGGGCGGGAGTACAAGCGAACTTTTACCTAGCAACCAGGCCCGTCAATAGAGGGCAGTAAACAAGATTAACAGTGTAACTTTTTTTCTTCTTTTTTTGTATAAATATCAATCAATCGATTTTCAGTAACAGATGAAAAATAACTATGTTTACAGTCCGAGTTCTTTTAAGTGCAGTGTCCAGTTGATACAGTTCTTCCTGTTCAAATGTTCTTTGCATGATTGTTCACTAAACATTGAGAGTTAACAAAGTGTTTATTGAAGCTCATTGTCTGTCATGTAACTGTTGAGCTTATAATACATTCATTACAGACTGCAGTATTTCATGGGCCTCCTTGGGTGGAGTGTTCTATTTTCTGCCAGCTTCACCTCAGGAAAATAGGATGCTCAACGTATGAAAATGGGAGAGTAAACTGGTACTATGATTATAAACCAGTCTTTCATTCCGTGCACGAGTCTTTCATTCCATGCATCCAGTGATAAGTTTTCATCGATTTTTTATTTTTAAACGCTACAGCTGTAGTGGAAGAGATCTACGCTGCCCAGAAGAAAAGAGATGAGGCCGTCATGGCCAGACTGCGACTGGCCAATGAAGAACGAGATGAGTCCATAGCTAGACTGCGCAGGATGGAGAACAAGGATGATTTTGACTCGGGAACGGACGTGGATGATGAGTATGGCACACCAGACATGGTAGGTGGAAGGAAAGGCAATTTTTACCAGCGTGTGGTGAACTGTTACAGTTTATGAATATTCACGAACCAATGCAGTCAGTTCATTGGTCACTATTTTGTTATGTTGCAGCAGTACAAATGGATCAGTCATATGTACAAGCTGATATGTAAGTTTTGACAACTGTCTTGCGCAGCCAAATGGACATGTAGGTCCTGGAGATTTAATTGCAAGCAATCCGCTCCGTTCACAAGTACCCCCTCACCAGCAAAGGAAGTACAGTTGGGGTGACCAACCGATGCCATCTTGCCTGACTGCAATTCATTTGCTGCGAAGCGCGGCCACTGCGTGTACATAGTACAAATCCCCTCGTGTACATGCGTCACACACAAGGAACAGTGCACGTCAACCAGTGAAATGTCCCGCCCATGGGACGTCGTTGCTAGGTAAAGGGGTGCCCTCTTTCGTTGGCGCACGGAGCCCGTTACTGAGAGATCTGAAGATGTGCCGACGACAGCACAAACTCCAAAGATTGGACAACTTTTGAGACTAAACCTACTCAACAGGTCTTTAAAATAGCATCACATTGTAAGCCGCGCCTATGGAACTAATGTAGGTGATAAATAATCAGTCTATAATCTGACATTGTGCTTCCTAATCAACTTGTATTTAGGCTTATGGGCTTAGTGGGTTTATTGAGCTTTTTCTTACTAGTGAAAATTTGGAGTTGATTCTGAACAGAATCATGACCCCCTCAAGCCCGGTTCATACACGACGCGAATGCGAATGCGAAGTGAATTTGACGTCAAGAAACGTTCGCTGCGAAATTCGCCTGAGTTGAAATGTGTTCACCTTTTACGAATTTGCAGTGCGAATACTTGCCATGACGTCACCATCGTGTTCGAGTATGAACCGGGCTTTATTGAAACAATTCTAAAAAATAGTTTGGAGTCTCCAAAGGCAATCCCAAAGTATCGAGTACTAGCTCACCAAGTAGCACAAAACTTCTCGACTAGTCTGGCTCTCAATTGCTACATTGGTTCCCAGACTAACAGCGGATGCTGTAGTCAAGTAATCATGACCAGGATTTCAAAGCAATGGGGCTGGGTTCAAAAGGGCATATTCGTCTTTGGCAACGGCCTTTATTGTAATAGATCCATAGCAATGTCAAAAGCTGTAGCCACTTAGTCCGCCAATTTGGATATTTTCTATCAGTGTTGTCGATGTGGATTCATCACAAGTCCTCCAGTCTCAAGTCAAGTCACAAGCTGTTTAAGTGAACTGTTACAAAATGCATTTATTTGTTGCTGGCCATCCCTGCTACTTGTGAAAGGACTTGTGATTTACTTTGGACCAGACTTGAGATGGATTTGTGATGGACTACAAAGCTATACTCAGCCAAGAGGCTACGTCCCAATAAGCCAGTTCGGTATTTCAATGACCCGAGGTCATTCGGGATAACATCGCTGACGTGATGTTACGCGATGTTACGCGTGCACCCATTCTGCTGGTAATTTACACGCAAGTGTCGTGCGCAGGCGGCGTTCATGCACTTTCGAAACGTTCAATTATCCCGAATGACCTATGACCCATGCGCAGTTGAAATACCCAACTGGCTTATTGGGTGTTTTGTGGCTTCAGCTTGGAGCAATTTCGATAGAGGACCATTAGCCGACTAATGGTTGATTTGTGACGTAACTTACATCTAAGCAACGTGCGAATGCAAGTAGTCAAGCAATGGTAAAAAGTCATGGCTCCCCTCTGTACTTTAGGATGTGCGCGGCTATTGGTAACCAGTGAAGCAACCGTGCCCCTAGCTTTGGTTCCAAATAGTAGAGTAGAGTAGTCCAACCATCCTTCGTTAGAGCAAAATTAGTCGAACTATGGTTGACTGTGGTTCGCGCCTGAACTTACTCTTTAATAGGTTTAGCCATTTGCATGCCTTAGTGAATAGCCTTCACTGTAGAATGCTCTTTTTGGACATGATCTTATACCCTCTTATATCCTCTACAAGTCAGGAAGCTAGACTTCACTGCATTAAACCACTGCTCGGTTAATAAGTTTGGTTCCTTGATCAACAGAGCATGGGTGACCTGCTGGCAAGGCTGAGCGTGTCAGACACGGGACCGGAGATCGCCATGTATGGCAAGTCCATCCTGGGTCAAATCAACAAGGTCAAGTCCAGCAAGGGTCGCATCGTGGCAGAAGAGATGCGGACGATTATTCAGGAGAAGGATGCAGCACTGGCCAAGGTAAGGCAGGGCATTTTATGCATAGATGGTGCCAGAGTTGTCATCAAGTTGTCACAAGTCACTCGCAAGTCACTCACAAGTCACTCACAAGTCTCTCGCAAGTCACTCACAAGTCACTCACAAGTCACTCACAAGTCACCCGCAGGTCACCCGCAGGTCACCCGCAGGTCACTCGCAGGTCACTCGCAAGTCACTCGCAAGTCACTCGCAAGTCACTCGCAAGTCACTCACAGGTCACCCACAGGTCACCCGCAGGTCACCCGCAGGTCACTCGCAGGTCACTCGCAAGTCACTCGCAAGTCACTCGCAAGTCACTCGCAAGTCACTCACAGGTCACCCACAGGTCACCCGCAGGTCACCCGCAGGTCACTCGCAGGTCACTCGCAAGTCACTCGCAAGTCACTCGCAAGTCACTCGCAAGTCACTCGCAAGTCACTCACAGGTCACCCACAGGTCACCCGCAGGTCACCCGCAGGTCACTCGCAGGTCACTCGCAAGTCACTCGCAAGTCACTCGCAAGTCACTCGCAAGTCACTCACAAGTCACCCGCAGGTCACCCGCAGGTCACCCGCAGGTCACTCGCAAGTCACTCGCAAGTCACTCACAGGTCACTCGCAAGTCACTCGCAAGTCACTCGCAAGTCTCTCGCAAGTCACTCACAAGTCACTCACAAGTCACTCACAAGTCATTCACAAGTCACTCACAAGTTACTCACAAGTCACTCACACAAGTTACTTACTCAAGTCAGTAACATTCTCAAGCCAAGTCACAAGCTATTCAAATGAACTGTGGCAAATAGGCATTTCTGTTCTGTGCATCCACTGTAACTTGTGACTGGACTTATGATTGGACTGTGATGAACTGGTTTACAACGTTCTCTGTGGTATCTCTGCGCAACTTATCGCAACCTAGCCAGTTCAAAATATAATACCTTTTATAATGCCTTCATGCAAAAATCAATAAACCAGTTCGGTATCTCGATGAAATAGTCCAGGTCAAAGGTCCTTCGGGATAAAATCGCATAGGCCTTGAGCTGCAAATAAAATCGAGTAACACCTGGCTCCTAAATTTTAAACAGTTAGGCTCATCTCCTCCATGGCATCCATATTAGCCAATCGCTGTGTACTGGCACACAACTCAGTTTTTGGTTTGGTTTGTCGGGTTGTTGGTTTTGCTGTAACTTTGGTATGAACAATACCTGCATAAAAAACACCAAGTTCAGGCAAGGACCATTATTTGACTAATGGTTGCTTCTTGATGTAATGAATGCCAGAACACTGATAGCAACATGCAAACGTCTCCTGCCAAACGCTGGTGAAAAAAAATCATCTCAAAACTTCTTGATCCTGGCTCCCTGCCGTGTATTATGATACACGCGACTATTGGTAACCGGTGATGGAACCGTGCCCCTAGCTCTGGTTCCAGATAGGCGACTAATGTAATCCAACTATCCTGGGTTCGAATGCAGTTATTAAGCTATGGTTACCCATAGTCCCCGCTAAAACTGGCTCATTACTATGGCAGTGAACCTAGCCAGTTAAAATGGGGTGTGCAGGTTTACAGTGATTGCATGTCCGTCGTCGTCTGTTGTGCACTCGTTTCTAATTAAACATTGCGCGTCTGATCTGTTGTCTCTAGCCAGCTCTGTCATTGGTCTCCTTGTTCAGGTCTATGCTGCCATGTTCTTTTTTTTCCCCCTGCCGGTCTTTTCACTTTTCTTTGTGTTTCGTCATGAGCAATCTTTGCTGGTGCGTCTTGTGGCAGACGCAGTAGATGACCGAGCCAGCTCAATCTTCTGTTTTTGATGTTTACACTCCACGGCTTTTGGTTGGTTTTGGTGTACAGGTCTTCATTTGATATCTTTCTGGCCAGCGAATTCCTAGTATGTATCTTAGATGACGTCTGTGGAAAGCATCAGTTTGGTTCTCCAATTGCATGTCCACACCACTGATCTCTATATAAAGACTGGATAGCGGATATCCATACACCACTCACACAGTAGACTTTGCATATTGACCAATTCGCCCCCGGTCTCATGAAGACTGCCGCGTATAATACGAACGTTTTACTCGTATTATACAGCGCGCGTTGTATCAACAGTTGATGCGCATTTTGGTCACGTACACATAATGATGTTCTAAAAAGGACACATTTCCGTATAGATTATTATTTCCAAAACGCCAAAAAAGTGAACTGCAGCATTAAAAAAGTAAAACCGCGACGTTAGAAAGATTGTCAACCTTGGTCAGTGGTAGTGGCCAAAATATAAGTCGAGTGAACCGCGAAGTTACAGAAGAAATCATGCTGTCTATAAAGACAGCAACTTGTCCTTTGTAGATCACCAGCCGGTCTCACCAGTCTCACCAATATGGCGTCAAATTCATTCATTGTGCGGCTCTTTATCCGCTATCCAGTCTTTATATAGAGATCAGTGGTCCACACTCATCCGCATGTGGCTCTGACCACTCTGAATGCACAGCGCCCTCTCTTGGTACATTTTAGCCAGTCAGTATTCCACCGCAGCCTCCCTTGGCCCTCTGTTATTCATTAACCCGTTGGCACACCGACATGTGGGGCCTATGTGTACCCAATCAATACGGTGTGTAAATTTTAGCGCCCCAATAATTGTTGAAGCTGTGTGTTCCTACCAGTAATTATAATGTGGGTTTTCATTTGTGAATAATAAATTGCCTGGGCCGTTTTTGTTTTTTCAACGGAATGGAAAAAAGACAACATCTGGTTTGGAAGGGTAACTTTGCCCGCGTCATAAAAGTTAATTTATTTTTCCAATTTTTGAATCAACACAATTTTGGATTAGGATATTTTAAACTAACAACTGTACCAGAAAGAACTAACAATTCAGGGAAATAGGGAATATTGACAGATGAAGATACATGTACATGCAGTTTGTACATGGTGAAACAAACAAGAATATATTGTGTGAAAGCAGATGTTATAATAACAAAGAAAACAACTCTTATCACAAAAGATGGGTTTATTGTTGCAGTGGAGATAATATTAAAAAAATTGCTCTTACTTGAAAGTAATTTTTGAATTTTTTGAATTTTGGATTTTTGGTACTAAGAACACTGATCCAATAACTTGACAAGTTTTATGTAAAATATATATGTCAATCAACCAAGAATTATTTAGGATTCGTGTAACATGTACAGTATGTATTCCTGACAACCTTAATACATGTGTGTAATAATGAATTGTTAAATGTTAGGCCATGAAACTCTTATTTGTCAGAAATTCATGACCAATTAATTTGCGGGGAATTGAGTATGCTGGGGTATACAAATTGTCCCCAATTTAATCTAAATTTTCCCAAAGTAATTCTTGAAAAGAGTAAACATGTTGCATTTATTTGCATTCAAATATTTGGGTAATCTAGAAACGAAATAAACCTTTATCAGCAGACATATGTGGGCGAAAAACATACATCAGAATACTGTTTGGCCAATCAGAACATACATGGATACATACATAGTCATTAGTCCATTCTCATGTAAATTTACATGTACATGTAGTTGTGGGCGGGTCGTCACCGCATTATGGGAATTTGTTTAATGTTTGGCAAATAGGACCGAGTTATGGGGACTTTGTGCTGTCCCCATAGCGTCTTTGGTCCCCATAGTACCATGGGATGACTCGTGTGTAGTCCCCACAACTACTGAACAAGTACTGGGGTATGTGTGATCATCCATTGTGTAAATGCACAATCTATTCTAGAAGTGATGTACATGTAAATGGTTACATTTCTTGAAGTCAACCATTTTCATAAGCACATTGTTACAAAAAAAATCCATGAAGCAGTTAGTGGTGTGCATAAACGGGTAGTACGGGAACCGGGTACCCTATAAGTGTAAAACACGGGTACCCGGGTACTCGTAAAAGAAACCCAGTCTCAAAATTCAAATCCCGGAAGTTTTTGAATGGCTTTATAGCACTGCGGCCGGTGTACACTGCAACTTTCGCGAGTTTTATCCGTCGTACATTTACCCTAACCTTCCCAAATCCTCCAAAATCCTCTTCCCAAAATGGAGGATTTTGCAGGATTGAGTATTTTACGATTGAGTATTTTTTTCAGAGGCACTGTGTCAAGGTCTTAGGTCGGACCTTATGTTGTTATGCTCAGCTGTGCATAAATTTAGGCCTGTATTATACTTGAAATCCTCCGCTCTGCTCTAGGATGTCACTGGCTTTGCCTCAACATATTGACAGTGATTGCTGGAGAATTTTGCAGGATTGAGGCAGTGGTCACCCCTCCAAGGACCACATTCAAGAAATAATGGTGAATTTTGGAGGATTGAGGCTGTGTGCAATTTTTACGTGGAGGCAGTTGGTGGATTTTGCAGGATTGAGGTTACATCCTAGCAAAAATGCTTAGGGAGTTAGGGTTAAAAATGCAAATAAACATGAAATCTGTTTTGGTTTTCCATGTAGCGTGGTTTTCATTTTGAGGAATTCCCCACAAATGGCATTCAAAACCTTTCTTTTTCATTGTCTTAGAATTCACTAAGTAATTTGTAAAGTTGGTTACGGGTACCCAATCCCATAATCTGGAACTGGTTCCTGACATCAGCGGTCGGGTACCCGGTTCCAATGCATACCCCTAAAAGCAGTTGCTGTTCTTTTGTTATCAGTGTTTTTGCAGGATGGGGTTTTACAAACATTTACAGGATGCTCCACACATCCTGATCCGTGTTCTTTAATTCCTCAGTAATTGCGTAGTAATGGTGGCAAATGCTGAGTTTGTCCATTGTCAAGATAGTCAATTTGCCCAGTCTAGGTGGTCGTCTACCTTCAGTAAATTTTCAACAGCACTTACTGCTTATCTCCCAAGTGTTGAACCAATATAAACAGCAAAACATCAAATTGACTTTTGAGTCGTTGGGTCTTTACTTGCTAAATAATACAACATGGAAGATGAACTTTAGTACACATGTACTGTACATGTATGTTCAAGGAATAAATGTGTTTGATATTGAAATACTGTAAATATATGTACATTGTTGAAACAAGCACTGTTAAGCGCACATTATCTTGGGTCAAGTAAATGTCTACATATGTACGCGCACTCTTTCCGATATATACTAATAGCAGCCGTTCATCAAAACAGTACATGTAAATTTGTTTCGGGAGGTTCTAATCTTTTCAAATTCAATTTTTTTCAGAAAAGTATTAAAAATACAAAAATGGAACCTTTTAAGAATTTATAAGAATAGACCATAGACGATAATATTTCTTTGGGGGGGGGTAGGCAATATGGATCTTTTTGGAATTCAAAGGCAAGGAACGATAACTTGGGAAAATGTTGGGAAATTTAAGAACACAAATGCTATTTCCTTAAAACTCTCTTATACTTTAGAATACACTGGGATTGTTTTAGTAGTTTGCATGATTTACATACTGCACAATATACCATAGGTAGGTAGGAAGAGCAGAGCCACTGTTGCATGTACTTTGCAGATCAGGTGTTATGGCCATTTAAAGTTTGAAATACATTGTGCAAAGATGATTATTGTCAAGATTGCTACCAATAATTGGATTCTTTTGTGAAGAAAAAAACTAAATGTCTGGATTTTTTTCATTTGATGTCTCATTCAGACGTGAATATATTTCTAGAAAAATAGCAATTAAAAAAACCAGCTAATTTTTTAGGTGAAACTTGAAAATAGTAAGGTGAACACATCTATAGATTCGTTTCATCAATTGACAAAATGTACAAGAATGAACATGTACACATGACATGAGTCATGTGTTATTCAACACTTGATGCAGCCCTCCTTTTATGGATTTTGTTTCAACATTAACTGGATGGGCCTTGGCTTATCTTGTTTTATTGAATTCCTGTGGCAGAACATGTGCATGAAAATGTGCAATGTACATCAGTAAAATGACGTCAGCTTTTTTTGTATGGGCCGTTAGTTGTCCACCAGATGTCTACAACAAGTTGATAAGTAATCCTGTAATTGTGGGAATTCTGTACAACCTTAGCAAATTTAAAAGAAAAGAAAGGAAGGGAAAAAAAGATTTTGCAATTATACTTTTGCTTTATGGACTGTGCAGTAGTTGCAGTCATGTCCTGAATCCTGATGTATCTCAAAACATGTCAACAGTAACAATTGTGGATTGAAATTCAGGACATTGGATGTGTGAAAGACATTGGGATTGGTTAAAAAGACCACAATTTCACAGGACCTGAATCTGACAAGGGAAAAAAAAGGTTGTGAAATATTTACAGGTTAACCCTTATTAATAAATGGGGGAATTTTAGAAACCATGTTGCATTGTACATAGCTTTTCACCACTTGGAGGAGATATTATTTATTGGAAACTTTTAAAGGTAGAGTACATGTATATCATTTGTAATTTGTGCATTTTCTTCGTTTGAAGAAACAAAAGTGCTCAAAATGTAAAGAAGGATGCTTAACAACTAACCTGGTGAAGTTTTAGCTCAGTGAATGATGTATTCTGAGAACCAATATTCTAGGAACTCTAGGAACAATATTCTATGAACATACCGAATCATGTTTTGAATTGCGCCCGAAATTTAGCATCCGGGACACGTTCTCTTTCAGTCGATTGCAGCTGCACAATGTCATGCACTGAACTGACAGAATATAGCAATTGCCACGCACGTGTGTGTCATGTCAACGCTTGCATCCATTCACAGCTTCGCCGAATTAAAAACGAACTATCGGTTCTAGCTAGCAGACTTTCTCTCTTTTGGTACACTGTTAACTCTTTTGTAGTCTGAATTGGTTTTTCTTTTTTGAACTGTGCAGTGTTAATTTTTCTCTTCCAAAAGTTTATCTGCATTGTTCGCATTTAGGAGTTTTGGTAGAATGTCCAAACCTGTTGAGCAGTCACTGGAGGTTTCTTGAAAATAATTGTTCATGTCTGGTTTTGTTTTTTTATTTAAAATTGTGTGAAATTAATTCAAGCATGTTCACATGCATACATGTACTCATTGAACATGTATCTGATTTTTTTTCTTCTGAAGTTAGTAAGGATACAATGCACATTACAGGAGGATTGTGTTGTGCCAAATGTACATGTTCACCAACAAGATTTCTTTGTTGAAAATATCTACAGATGTCCAAAAGAACATACAAAAACCTTATAACAGCTGAAGTGAAACATGCCACATTGGGATACATTGTAATGTTTAATCCTCAGTTTCATATTTTTTGTTTCTCCCAGCATCAAACATCTGTTTCTGTTGTCCATTATACCGGTACACACCCCTACCACCAGTAAAGCTATCTGGCGCCCTCCCCTGTCCCCCCCACACACCTCGCTAGTCGGTATTTGACTAGTTTCCCAAGGCGCCCACTCCGCCTTTCAACTCCATCTGTGTCCCACACCTGTGTGTCCCATCCACTCTGCCATTCATCGCTGCCATTGTCCTTCACTGCTGCAGATGGCTCTCAGAGCAAATATTTGGACAGTTTTTTTTTTTCTTCTATCAGAAACCCGTACCACACAAAACATTTTTTTTCTCTTTCTATTTAATTTAGGCCGTTAGAACTATGCCCACATGATAGAGTAATAACCAGCATAAAAAAATATAATGATAATATTGAGCCTTTGTTAATATTCACTTACTTGTGTTTTTATCAAGTTTGTATAATTTGTTTTTCTTATTTTTTAAATATTTTTTTTATGACAGTGTAAGAAACTTGAGAGGGAGGCAATTGAGCTGAGACGGACCGCTGGAGGGCTGACCGCTCTGAATAATAACGAACAGAGCCTAAGGGTAATTATAAGTATCCTTGTCTTCTTCTTGCCAGTGGCGCACTTAAGGGGGAGGGGGCTCAGGGGGCTTGAGCCCCCCCCCCCCAAGAGGTCGTCAATTTGGGTGGTTTTTTTTTTGGTAATTTGGGTTTTTTTTCGTCCCACGATTTGACCTTGGTGATATGTAGGAATATGTTGCCTATTTTCGAGCAGTATAATAGGGGTGTAAGTGTAAGGGTGTAAAATAGTCCGCCCCTGGTAAAAACCCCAATTTTTTTCTGCCGCCAGAAATGTTGGGCAACATTTTCTGAAAAATCCTGGGTGCACCACTGCTTCTTGCTGTCTCATTCTGTTTTTGTCTTGTGGCAGCCATTTCCTGCTTATATACACGTACTTCATCGATGGTCGGCCGACCATCGTTAGAAAAAAACTGACTTTTTTTGAGATACTGCCCCCTTTTACTAAATTTAGTTAGTCCACATTTTGTTAGCAATTGGTTATACATCCGTGAAAGGGTGCAAGAAAGCTAGTCCCATTCCCTGACTTGACAGTTTTCCGATGTGGGGAAGGGAACCAGACTACAAGAACAGCAGTTTTGGGGTTTTTTTCCAGCATCTATGAACACAAAACTTTCAACAGGTCAGTGTAACAATTTGCTATAAAATACTATCCCCAAATCCGTCCTTTTCTGAAAATTACAGCAAAAGCAAATGTTGTACAGTGTACATGTATGTTAGTCGATGAAGACTACCAAGGTGCACAATGTAAATGCATGGTTGTCCAATGTCTTTGCATTGCACTCTTTCTGGATGAATTTTTGCTTTATTTTCTTGGGCTTCACAATTTAAAAAAACCCAGGGTATCCATAAAAACAATTTCCAAAGCTTACTTTGTTAATTCCTGTTAAGAAAGCAATTTTCTCTATCTGGCACTGTGTACCTTTGAAGGAAAGAGAGATTGCCAAGCAAAATTGTCAAACAGAAACAATCTTTCCCGGATCACTGCTGTACATTAAATTTAAATATTTAAATATGAAATTTGATTTTCCATTTCAAAGTAACAAGCACAAATTTCATGGCTTGTAGGTGCATGATTCTGGTTGTGCAAGAGAAATGGTGATTCTTTCTCAATTCTAGAAACCTAAAACCAGAACTTGGGAAAAAAATGAACAAACTTGTAGAAAGAGAAACAAAATTAAAAAGTAATCGCGGATGTGATAAGTCCCCTCCTCAAGACACTGTTACCACCAGCGCACAACAACAACTTGAAGAAGCAAACATCAAACCACAATGCTGTCCCAGACACACTGGAGGACCACAAAGAAAAGGATCAAATCAAGTCCTTAAAGAGTGTTCACCTATGAAAGGAGACAGGAAGTCCACTGAATGGTGCTCAATTTCCTGAGGTTTTGTGAGGGATACAACACCTGAACAATAGGGTGGGGTTTAACAGAAGTAGGAAAGGTGCTTGAATGCATCACAGTGAGAAACGGGGAAATCGCGGGGAAGTGAGAAACAAGATTCGCTAATAATGCTGTGATTTTTCCAAACAATTAAACCCATAATTCTGGAGTATGTGGTGGATAACAACACCACAAATAAAACATCATTTACCCTAACTCCCCAGCATAATTTACTAGAAAACATACCCATTCAGGCAAATTCCAACACCCACATGGGAAATCGCACACACACACTGTTGGACTTAGTTTCTGAAGGTATGCCAAACCCAATGTAAAAAAACCCATCTGTTTAGGGGTACTGTACCCATCCCAACAGATTTAAACAAAACCTGCTGTTGAACTTTGATGGGTTGAGTTCGGTTAGTGTTAATCAGTACATTTTATAGGCAAGCTAGCTACATGTATATTTTAAACTAAATTACTTTATTTGTCCAGTGATGACAAACATATAAAAATAAAAAATAAAAAAAAGTAATATTAAGCTTTGAGGGGCTTTATCCCTCTTAACCAAAAAATGACAGATTCGTCAAGTTTGTTTTGTTCAAATTAATAAATTTAGGAATCTTAATACAAATGGCAAGTCAAGATTTTGTTCAAACATTTAGCACAGTAATGTTTTCTTGTAGGTTTAAAAAGGTCACAGCCTTGTATGTCTTGCAGTGCAGATTTTATCATTCTAGGTTGAAGGTGGACTCTTGGCAGAGAGAAAGGTGATTGAGGCAAACCAGGAATTTTAAAACACCATTGAATTCTGTTACAAAATACTGACCTACATGTATAAGAAATAAAACTACACTATCAAACCAATGTAAGGGACACAAAAAATCACTGTTTCTTGGAAATAAAGAGGCATTTAACATATTTAAAGGAGTGAAAATACAATCAAGTTTTTAGTAATTTTTTTTTATTCTTAATCTGTAGAAAAAAATATGAAGAAAAATAATTTAGACCCCAAAAATTTGGTGGGTGGAATAACAAACGTAGCACATATCCTTGTGAATAACAGGAATAAAACACAAAACAGTACCATCAAAAGTACACTTGATGGACGGACCCGATTATCAAAGTGCAGACATCAGAAAGTGGGAAGGTGTGAGTTTGTCAAGAGTCAAAGAGATAAATTGAAGATAAATGGTCTTGTTTTGTGACAAGATGGAGATGATTTGGATGGGAAAATGTGAATTTGTCCAACCTTGATGCTTCAACCGAGATAGCGGAATGTCAGGGAAGGAGCAGATAGCAAAATGTGCACATGATGGACAACATTAATGAGCCATTTATTATAATATTATCTTTTTTATTTCAAAACTGTCTGTTTTATGTTGGTGAAAAATGGATTGCGGTGTCAAGTCAGTGCTGTCTGAGTAGCTTGAAGTACATGTGTATACATGTACAAAAAGTATATGTCTGCTCTGCTGATCAGTTTGATTGATAATGGATTTCCCCTGCTGATAAATTGTGATAGAAAACCTTTTTGAAGTTTCATACCCCATACTCTTAAAACAAATTGAAATTTTCACCTCATGAATTTTCAATTTGCTTGTTTTGTTTTAATAAAAGAAAAACACACCCTATTTTATGTTGATTTGGGGCATTTGAAACCTGCCGTCAAAGGGCTTTCATTTTGCGCACAAATAAATCTGCCCTGCAAGAGCCGACATTTTTGTTTGGCAGCCGATAATTATTTTGTGAATAAATATTTCAATAGCTAAATGTCGGTGGATTTTTTTTGTTCAATGTCTCATTAAAAAATGAATAACTTTTATACTGCTAGGAAAATGGCAATTAAAAAAACTCTATTTTTTGAGGTGAAAGTACAGAGTAGCACGGGGAACGAATCTTTAATTAACGAAAACAAATTTAAAGATATAATGGAAATAAAGCTGTTTTAGTATATTCTGGTATCTTTCATTATATGCCATGCACAAGTTTGATGTGCACACATTTTTACTAGAGAAATGGGGGAGGGGTGTTCTAAACTCAACTTAATCTGCCACTTGTCATTAGCTGATTTTTGGCAGCGTTTCAGTGGAAAGCTCGTGATTTTACTCTCAAAAATAGAAAAATCAATAAATTATGTAGCATACCGGTACCTTTACTTTTCTTGTTGTATTGATGGGAAGCACTTTCTTTGATTACCACATTTATATTTCATGAAAGGTTAGCTCTCAAAGCAATTCTGTTAATATTTGATTGTTGGCCAAATTGTATTTTCCCCCCCCCCCCCCCATCCCCCTGAATCGACGGGGAAAAAGAGTCAAAACTGTTTGTTATAAAACTTTGTTGTTTGATAAACGTTTACATTTGAAAAGAAGATTGAAGCAAGTACCGTATTTGCATTAACCTTGTCCTTGTACATACATGACCTTGTTATTTAACATCTCATTATTCAACAAGTACAGTGGATCAGAGCTTTGTACAGGTCATCTCAACACTTCTCATCCTTACCCTGTTTTAAAATAAAATTGAAAAAAAAAAAACACGGCTGTATCTTTGACCTTTGCACATGCACACTTCACAGTTCAGTTTCCCTATCGCAAAACAGCCGCATTAATTATGTGTTTACTGTCAGTCTACTTCAGGTGTCAAAATTCATGGCAGAGTCAGACAAACAAACAAGGGGAAAAAAACTCCAAAATGATGGTTTTAGAGTTTGTAGGCATGATGAGCCTTGGTCTTTTCTGCAAGCGCTGAGCCGAACCCATCTTTATTTGCGATCCGCTTCCTCTCATACTCATGCTTCAACTCCACAGAATGTTGTTTGCATACGTGCCGAAGTTTAGTGCTCAACTGTTTGTCAGGTCACCAAAAGCTGGCAGGGAAACCTTTTTATTTTTTTTTGAATCAGTATTTGTCTATTTTTTTGAATTCTCATTTCTCATACAGGGTTTTTATTTGTTCATTTGCCACTTTGACCTTAGCTGAGCTTCATGCTGTGGAATTTGGCCTTGGTCATTGAGGGAACACGCACGATACGGGCTGCAGGTCAGGTTTTGGGGAGGAAGATATAAGCACAATCACGTATCGCCACTAAATTTATTTTGTCGGTAAACAGGTCTAGGAGTTCTTTCTTCCCTGGCCTTTTTTTTCTCTCTCTCTTTTATAAAAAAAAATGGTCGAGTATTGGCTTCAGGTGGCTCGGTAAATTTGCTCATCCACCTGACTTCATTTTTGGGATGACGGATGGTTTACTTTTTTCTTTTCTTCTTTCTCTGGCTCCATTCCAGAGTCTTGTTTACCTGGCATTGCTTCCATGGTTGTGACTTGACCTTCAGTTGACAATATAACCTCCTAGAGTTTGTTTTCTGCCCCGCCTGTAATCATAAACGCAATGGTATAGATGTGTGTTTGGTTTGTTGGAATGACAAAACTGTGGATCGCAGATTGGTTGTGGAGATAGCAGCAATCCCGAGGAGTTTAGAGATTTTTTGGGCAGATAGTTTGTATGTGGTCTTTCGTTGGTTTGTATTCTGTGGAGGAGGCACTAGACAGTCCTTGTGCCATCCAGTGCCAACCAACACATTGTTATCCTTGTTGCTTAAAGAATTCAGCTTTCGCAT